CCATCGAGACATCTACAAAACTAATTGGCTCCTTAAAGCCTTTAATGAAGAATTACAGGTAAAAACTATTGAACAAGTTTATCCTCTCTTTAAGGATGAACAAGTTGCCAATTGTTGAGTCCCAAAACCCTTAAGAAAACATAGGGAAAAAGGATTTAACTTTATTCACCTTGGTTTAGTACAAGTAGCTATTAAACCATTAACTCAACAAGGAAAAATTCAGCAGCCTTGTTAACATTAAGAGATGCTAGGTTCCTCGAATATGAACATAGTATTATTGGTATCATAGAAACAGGTCTTCATAAAGGACCAGTTTATTTCAATTTTTTCCCTGACTTTACCTTAAGTTTAGGATGCAAAAATACTCCTCTTAGCTTTAACCTTAGGAAAAAGCTAACAGGAAGCATCACTAAATTGGTAAAAGAAACTGAATCCACAGTACTTCTCTACAGGATTTATTATAAATGCATTACCACAAACTGAATGTGCATGCATTACAGAAAATTCCTTTAGGAAGCACTACTTTGATTCAAGCCAGTACTAGTCAGTCACATATCCAAGCCCCTAAGCAAATCCTCTAGAAAGGATGTAACGCTCCCAGAATCTTGGATAGTAAAAAATGAAAACCATGATAAAGGCAGTGAAAATACAACCACTGACTTAGAGAGCATCCACCAGTTAGAGGATGACTCAGTAAGAATCTCCTTTGATTCTGCAAAATCCATTAGATCAAACAGATTCATAAATAAACCTATTCAAATTTGTGAAGGAAGAAAATCTGACTCTAGTTCTATACTCTCCAAAAGAGACCAAGAAATAGATAAGGAAATTCAAAGACTATTCAAGTTAAAAGGAATAGATAATTCCTCTTCACAAATTAGTAAGCCGTGCTATACTCCACATCAGAGTATTCCACAACAGAAAAAGGAAGAAGATGATGAAGAAGATTTCGCCCCTTCTCTTACTGCTAGTGACGTTCAAAGTAATAACCACCAGTTATTCATGATTAAAAAGGAAACTAGTACCTTATTCATGCCTGATATGAATAATCTCAAGAAAGATTTTCAATTAGTAGAGAATGAATCTAAAAGACAAAAGTACTTTCAAAGATTCAACAATAATCAACAAATCGAAATAAGAAGACAGTGGGTTAAACTAATGTATAAGCTAGAAACTGAAATCTTATTTTTTGATTATTTGGATAACTTCCACAAAGGAGTTAATGTTGTTACCCAATACAAATGGAAAACAGAAAAATTCATTGTATCGTCTAGTCACCCTCCAGTAGAAATCATTGTCATTAACCATGGTAAAACTGTTGTTGCCTCTCCTTTCAAACTCTCCACAGATGAGTCTGAAAAGAAAATTGTTGAACAAAACAATTTTACTAACCAAAGCCTAATCACTATAGGTAAACAGTTAGATAAAATTGAAAATAAAATTGATGAGATCAAACTAGGTAATAAATTAGAAAAACCTCTAATTCATTTACCTAAAGATCGTGGTAAACTAGGCATAAAAGACAGTCAAAACATTGAGAAAATTGAAAAGCTTATTTCTAAAATGAAGCAGAAAGAACCAACTTCTCAAAAGAAAGAAAACACTTCTCAAGTAACTGTCATCAACCAAACTTCTAGTAATTCAGAAGAAGTGGACTCAGTAAGTTCATCTGATTCTGAAGTAAATAAATTAGAAGAACAGTTTGATAATACACAGATTAACAAATTGACTTTTTCAAATGTTAATCCAACCAGTATCAATAAAAATTGGTACACCAGACCAACACCTCCTGATCTTCAATTTGAAGAAAAAAATATTAGTAATCAGTTTTTGTTCAGGCTAACAAACTCTATGAATGAAACATAGATAATTTAAGTGAACAAGAAATTCTGAATAAGATCAATCACATGTCTATGATTATCAATAGTTACGTAACAAATCTTGACCAAGATGAACCTAAGATAGTTGACATTATCACTTCAGAATTTACTAGTATGTTACGTAGTTGGTAGGACAATTATCTCACACAAGAAACTAGAGATGAAATCAAGTATGCTGTTGTCAAAGATGATGATGGTATGTCAGTGTTTGATCAAACCTTTGGTAAAGGTAAATCTGATGGTATCAATACCCTCATTTATACCATTATTAACCATTTTGTTGGTACACCCAGTAATATTGAAGCTAGAATCCATGATCAGCTTAGTAATCTAAGGTGCCCAACACTCAGTGACTTTAGATGGTACAAAGATGTATTCATCTCTAGAGTCATGCTTCGCCCAGATTGCAATAAATCTTTCTGGAAAAAAAAATTTGTTAATAGCCTCCCAAATCTCTTTGCACATAAAATTAGGGATGCACTTAGTAAAGACACAGGGATAATTGAATATGATTCCTTCACCTATGACAATCTTGTTAGTACCATCCAAAAGGAAGGACTTAAGATGTGTATTGACATGAAGCTCAGTAAGCAACTTGCCAATGACAAGAAAAAAGCCAAATATGAAATGAGAAATTTCTGTGAACAATATGGTCTCCTTCAGTAGCACCATCTGTTGCCAGAAAACACAAAACCCATAAACCATATAGTAAAAGCAAAAGTCATTATTCTAGAAATAAAAAGACTTTTAGCAAAACCCAATTTTTATGAAAATTCTAGAAAACCCTATAAGCATAAAACTTATAAGAAATCTGAAAAACATGCTAGTACATCTAAGTCTAGAAAAGATAAAGATGTTAAATGCTTTAACTGTGGAAAAATAGGCCATATTAGTCCTAATTGCCCAGTTAAAAAACAGGTTAAAAGATTAAATTTAGCCCCACAAGAAGAAGAAGAAATTCTTAAAATCTTCAGGCTAAACAATCAAAATACAGAAGGTTCAAACTCCCATAGTAGTTCTGAAACTGAATCTGAGTATCTCTCAGCATCTGACAATCCTAGTGAACCTAACATTAAGATAGGTTGCAAGGATAGTTGTCTCTGTAAGACAATTAATGTAATAACTAAAAAATGAAGAGGAAAACATTCTCATTGAGTTAATCAGTAAGATAGAAGACCCTGAGTTAAAAATCAAAAGATTCAGTAAAAAGAAAAAGAAAGAACTCACTTTACAAGATCTTCAAGCTGAAGTTAATAAAATCAAATCAGAAATTAAAGAACTAAAAGCTCAAGACAAAAAATTTGCAGAAGCTTTAAGTTTTTTACACACAGATAGCTTTGGCGCTACAAAGGATTTTAATCCTGAAAAACAGCCATTAGTTAATGATCAATCTGAGACAGAATCTCAGGATGGAACACAATTACAGCGGATACCTGTAACCTCCACCTCTCTAGTGGAAAATTCAGGTGTAACGAAGCTACCATCTCATGATGGGTGTTCACAAACTAATGATAGTTATAGAATTAATCTGGTTAACAAGATTAGTTTTCAAAAATGGTATTCTCAAGTACAAATCATCATTAATGATTTTAAACTTGAAACTATTGCCCTTATTGATACAGGTGCAGATGTTAACTGTATTCAAGAAGGAATAATACCAACTAAGTATTATCAGAAAACACTTGAAAAACTTAGTTCGGCAAATGGAAGTAAAATGAAAGTTAAATACAAATTGTCAAATGTTCATATTTGTCAAGACAATGTATGTTTCAAAACATCTTTTGTCATAGTACAAAATATGACTAGTGAAGTCATCCTTAGATTACCATTTGTATACTTGTTGTACCCATTTACAACAGATACTAAGGGTGTAACCATTAAACCATTTGGTCAATCAGTAACTTTCAATTTTATTAGTAAACCAGAAACTAAGACATTAAGACAACTAAGAGATCACTCAGTCTCTCAGCATCTTAATGCAATCAATCAAAAAACTCAACAGGTAAAATTTCTCAAATATGAAATTAACCATAAGAGAATTCAAGAACAATTAACAAACTCAATCTTAATTGAAAAGATTGAGCAATTTAGGTTAAAATTGGAAGCAGAAGTATGTTCTAACCTTCCTACAGCTTTTTGGCATAAGAAGAAACATATGGTAAAACTTCCATACACAAAAAGATTTAGTGAGACAGATATTCCTACTAAATCTAAACCCATCCAAATGAACCACGAAGTATATATTTATATATAAAATTCATAGTTTCCTTCCTTGGAGGATAGAAAATATATCCATTTTACTTTCTATTCCTCCTACTTTTCATCATTCCTATCAAACGGAGCATAAGAGTTGTTTCCAATTAGCAAAGTCAAGCGGAAAGTATAATAGAGAAACAGAAGGGGACACAGATCATATTATGCTTGAACAATATCTCAAGAAAGGAAGGAAGCAACAGCACTCCGCGTATCTGCAGAAAGGTTCAATCTACCCACAGGGTCCAATTCGCACTGTAATGAAGTAGCTATAAATAGAGAAAGTTATAGGAAGAACAGAACATAGAGTTCATAAATTAAAATGAGAAAAAAACACACCACATCACACAGCTTTTATTTCGTATATATGGGGAAAGACAAGAATAACCAACCACATAAAGTACTTGGGCAAGTCGAGCAAAGAAACTTCTCTGCTCATCAATGCAACCCTTTCCACAAATTCGTATCCTTCGCTCCAAAGAGTCCAGGAATGGAGTCACGTATTTCTCCACAAAGGCAAGTATCTAAGCCTGGAAAATAGAATGTATTGTCTATTTCTAGTGGATGGAACTCATTAGCGCACCTATAACCTGTTAACTTGAACACAATCATGGATATCTCATATCTCATGGAATCATCAAGGTGATGTAGTCTTAATCCCTCCGTTAACTACTGCAAAAGGTTTAAAGCATCTCCGAAATGAACATCGCAAGGAAGAATTTGCAGTTGAACTTATTGCAAAAATCAAATTTTATGATCATTCTTTAGAGATGATCACAGATTGCCTCAGTAAAATCGGTGGTTGATGAGGTGCCTCCAAGGTCAGCAGTTCGGTACTTCCCTTCTGCAATTGTCTTGAGGATAGCATCCTGAATCCTATCAGCTTTATCATGAAGCTCCAGATGGCGCAGCATTGTGACAGCACTCAAAAGCAAAGCAGTGGGGTTTGCCATATTCTACATAAATTCAACCACACCAAAGATAGATAATAAGCACACAGATGTCCGATTAAAAAAAGCTTTGCTAAACAATCAAATTTAGATGAACTAAAGACAAGAAGTCCCTCAGCGAAACACAGTATCTTATATAATTCCCAAACAGATCACTTTTTGGCTAGAAACTTGCTTCCATATTGCTGACTAGTGCCTCTACCACTAGGTCATTGGATCTACTAGAAAAACAAAAAAAAAGAAAGGACAAATTATCAACAAGTATCTATTTAGATACTTTTTAAATTACGATCACCCGATACAAAACAAGGGTCATCCTCAAGCACCACAAAAAGACACCCCAAACCAGAGGGCTCCCAATAGAACTATCAACAACAAAACAACTCGACATTGAGAGTATGTTTTGTGCTTCCCAGTTTTGTAAAAGAAATGTAAGACATTTCCTGAGTATCTTTAAAATTTCCTTGATCTCTGTCTGCAGTGACCAAAAGGAAGACGGCTGAATTGAGTTTCATCCTACGTGTAGGAAAGGGCTTCCTAATACATAATGGCCTTCTCTGTATATCCCCAGATGGCAAGTTCAGACATAAATGTAGCTCAAGAGGACCTAAAGTTATGGAGAAGTTCTTCTACACCAATGAAATTCAATGATGTTTACTATAATGAAATCCAGGTTAGGGACAATAGCTTTTTGTTATCATAACAATCAATTAAGTGAAACATTTAGCCAAAAAAAAATTCAAACTCATGCAAAAGCCAAGTGCGAGAAAGAATTTCCCAAGTGATTAAAGTACAAGCATGAAGACGTCAATCCATATCTCATGACAAATTGATAACAATGGAGGCAAAAGCAATGAAGCAGCTTTGATGATCAACCTTTCCAGCAATATCAGGTGCTGAGCCATGTACAGCTTCAGCAAGAGCAATACCTCCCTCACCAATATTGCAGCTGTGCAGGAGGTTAAATAAGTTTAGACAACTAATATAAATCATAGATGGATCATGAGAAGGGAAAAAAATAAGCAGATACCTTGGTGTTAACCCCAATCCCCCAATTAACCCAGCACAAAGGTCACTGATAATGTCACCATAAAGGTTAGGCATCACCAATACATCAAAGAGCGCTGGATTCTTCACAAGCTGTACATGGAAAGACACTCTTAGTTTGACTCTTACTTTCCTATTCTGAAGTAGATTCAGTGCCACTCTGTAACAAATCTTGTTAGAAACTCTCATTTCCATCATAATGATATCACATACCAAAAGCATGGTGACATGCGGATTTGTGCGACTAGTTTTGGACATTGTTCAGATACGTGTGTGCATGCTCACAATCACACCCACAATACAAACATTTGTAAAAGGAAAATGTTCATACCATCATACAACAATTGTCAATGACAACTTCCTCATATTTAATCTCAGGGAACTTCTCTGCCACCTCACGACAACACTGAAGTGAAGAGAAAAAAAATTAGTACAGGTAGGCACAAGGAGAACACCCTAACACATAAAATTTATGCACTTAGAACATGAGGACCTTAAGAAAAAGACCATCGGTTTTCTGCATGATGTTAGCTTTGTGTATTGCTGACACTCTATCTCTTCCATGTGTCTTAGCATAGTGAAAAGCATACTCAGCCACCCTCAAACTTGCCTGACGAGTAATGATCTTGAGGCTTTCGACAACACCCCTCACCACCTAGCATCAGATGCAAGGAAATCCAACAAATTAATATGCAATGCCTTTTATTTTGTGTGCATTTGCATATTATACAAACAAGCTTACTTGATGTTCAAGACCACTGTACTCTCCTTCTGTGTTTTCGCGGATGGTGATGAGGTTAACATCATCATACCTAGTCTTGTATCCAGGGAGACTGTAGCAAGGTCTAACATTGGCATAGAGATTTAGCTCTTTCCTCAAAGTAAGGTTTAACGAACGATGACCTTTTCCAATTGGGGTGGCCATTGGTCCTTTTAAGCCAACCTTGTTTTTTCGAACAGATTCTAGACTTTCCCATGTGAGAAAACTCTGGGTTCGAGGATCTATCTCCTGCCCAACATAGTGTTCTTCCCATTCAATGGGCACATCAGCAGAGCTAAATATCTGCATGCGTAGAAATGACAAAATTCAGTGAAATTTAAAAGTATCATCAGAATGAAAGTTCCAAAGCAATCACAATCCTTTCACCAGCTCCAAAATCACACAGTAATCCTTGCTCTAGATTGTAAGGAAAAGGCATCAAGGATTTTCAAGTCTTACATAAGTCAGTGATATCAAGAAAACGAGCACAGAAGTTAAAAGCACCCCCAACCATTGGAGATGGAGTGAGATTTTTGATTATAAGAACACAAAATAGCACAAAATACAAGAATTGCAGAAATACTTTCTGTGCTTGCAGACAAAACAGATTAAGACAAAATTCAACTTTACGCACCCGAATAGAATATGAAAACTGCCTATTCTGAAATTTCATACTGATATTTTGTTGTTGTTTAATCTTTTGAGCAAGCTAAGTAAACCCAGATGCCAGCTAAAAATAATACCTTTAAAAAGGGGCTAGCCTAAAGACAAAAGCAGTAGTTTGGCGGTACAAAAGTTTCAAGAAAAAACAATAGAATGTACAAAATTTGAAATAGTCCTTTTTAAATTTCATTTTCAAGCTCACAATAGAGTATTGTACAAGTAAACTCAACAAAGCCTTAATCTCAACTATTTGGAGTCGGCTCCATGAATCATGTTTCTCAATTACGCTCTATTATAAAGGGTATTCGGTTAGACCATATAAGCGATCATATCCTTCTAAAAAATTTCGTTCAGAGTTAATCACTGCACTGAACAAATTTTCGAGAAGAAACAATTCACCTAAAACACAAAATTCAGGCGCTAATCAGTTCAGAAACCATATTTCACAAGCTATAATAACAAATGGTACATGAAGCATATAAAAAGGGAATCCATAGCCAAAATATATGCTTTGTTCTCCATAATACACATGTAAAATTCGGATCGAAGATACGGACCTGTTTGACGGAATTGGCGATTTCGGGACCTATACCATCGCCAGGGAAGAGTGTGGCTCGGATCAGATTGGATTCAGACGCGGCTGTAGTGAAGTTTCGATCGAAAACCCTAGCTCCTGAATTCTTGGGGTTAGAGAAGATATCCTTCGCGTAGCTTCGAAGCACGCGTCTCGCAATTTGGGAAGCCATTAAGGAAGCCATTAAGAAACGATTCGTTTCTAGACCAAAACTCAATCAATCAATAAAGAAAGAGAACTTTCTTATGGTGGAGAGAGAGAGACAACTGTGGAAGACGAAAAAGTATTCTGTTTCAGCAGATCCTGCCACTCAGTGTCACGTCAACAGTCGAAGATGCATAGGTCATTTTGAATTATTTGTTTGTGTCTACTAGAATAGAATAAAGGATCGTATATTGAGCGATGTATTATATTGAATATAAATAATATTATATAAATATTTATATTCTATTAAATATTTAAATGATAAGTTTAATTTTAAATTTTATATTATATCGGACCCACAAAATAAAGAGTAATATGAAATTATAATTTTTTATTAAAATAAAATTATATTTTTAACGGTTATATTAATCGATATCAACGAAAAGGGGTTACGTGTTACACGTACATAAACGTTATGAGATGTAGAAATAATATTCTAAATGTGAAGGGATCCAAATGATTAAGTGACAAGTATGAGAAGATCTAAGTATAATTTATCAAATTTAGTTTTAGGTGCACTTTGATACAAATTTCTATTTTTGAGGATGCAAATTGAGATTGTTTATCTTTGAGGATGCACATTGACACAAATTTTATCTTTGAGGGTGCAAATTGAGATTTTTTATCTTTGGGGGTGCACGTTGATACAAATTTATATCTTTGATGGTACAAATTAAAATTTTTGATCTTTGAGAGTTTAAATTAAGATTCAAACTATATTTCAGAGTGTAACTTGAAATTAACCCTAAAGCCAAAGATACGTAACAGTTGGTTTAGATACCTGAACACAATATCTAAAAAGAAGTTTAATTAATTGTATCATATCTAATTTATATTGTGCATAGATCTTAAATAATAATATACAAAGTTGTATTGTGTATTTCTTTTGAGTGACTTTATTTATATCCAATTTATTTATTAATTGTATTGTGTTGGATCTACTCATTTATGAAACTAGTGAGTTAAAAAAAACTCAACCCTATAATTTTTTTTCATATTAATGAGTTGTTATATATTTTAACACCCTTAATTATAATATTAAAAAAAGAGAAGCATATTTATTCATTTGAGCATATTTCCCTAGCTTTACCATTCGGATGACCTAATAAGGACCTTCCCAATGGGGGCTTGGCTTTCCCTGTTTGGGATTCTTAGATGCTAGGCTCACTTTCTTTAGTACTAACTCCTTTGATTAGAATTTCTGAATCTTTACTCTTTTGTTGTAATACTTAGTAGTTTGATTTTGATAAGTTATAACCCTATTATGGAATTACTCCCTTTCTTCTAATAAATCTAAATTGATCCTGAGTTGTTCCTCATTTTTTTATTCAGTGAAATGTTGGATTCTATGGGTTTCTAGTCCCATCTCAACCGGGATCACTGCTTTAGTCCTAAAGGCTAAGGAGAATAGGGTTTCCCTAGTTTGAGACATTATTATTGTTCGGTAGGCCCATAAGATATTGGGACACTCTTCTACCCACAGTCCCTTTGAGGCTTCTAGACTTGTTTTAAATCCCTTAAATAGAGTTCTAATGGTGACTTTATAGCCTGACCATTAGCTTAAGGGTGGATTGGGAATGAGTAATGATTCTGAATCCCTAAGTCAAAGTAGAACTTTTTGAGGACATCATTATTAAACTGTTTCCTATTGTTGCTTATGAGAACTCTGAGTATTTCAAAGCGACGTATTATTGGTTTTCATATGAAACCTCTAAGCTTGTGTTGAGTGATAGTGGCTAATGGTTCTACCTCTATTTTTGGTAAAATAATCAATAGCAACTGTTGCAAACCTGTTTAGTTCTTTGTTGATTGATAGAGGATCTACTACATCAATGCTCCATTGCTCAAATGGTAGAACCAACAAGATAGGAGTGAAATTTTTCCAAAGCAAAAACTCCAGCAAGCAATTCTTTTTTAGTTGTTGAATAATTTATTTGAGCATCATTCAAAGTTTTGCTTGCATAGTAAAACACATGTGGTTTCTTATTCTTTCTTTGCTCCAACACATCACCTATAACATAATCACTTGCATCACACATTAGTTCAAAGGGTAGAGTCCAGTCAGGGGGCTGCATTATTGGGGCAGAAATTAACATGCCTTTAAGCTTATCAAAAGCTTTTTGACATGCTTCACTTCACACAAAAATTACGTCCTGACTCAGAAGATGACACTAGGTTTTGTTATGGTACTGAAATCTTTTATGAATTTCTTGTAAAAGCCTGCATGTCCTAGGAATGATCGAACATCCTTTACAGTCTTGGGAGCAGACAAGTTTTCAATTAGATCTATTTTTGCCTTGTCAACTTTCATGCCCTCAGATGACACAATGTGACATAAGACAATGCCTTGTGTTTCCATGAAATGACATTTTTTTCAATTAAATACTAGATTGGCCTCCAGACATCTTACCAATACCTTCTTTAGGTTGGCCAGACATGAATCTAATGAGTCACCATAGACAGATAAATCATCCATGAATACCTCCAAAAATTTATCGACCATGTCACTAAACACACTCAACATGCATATTTGGAATGTTGCAAGTCTGAATGACATCATTTTGAATGCAAAGGTGCCAAAGGGGCACGTGAATATGATTTTCTCCTGATTATTTGAGTGTTATCTCAATTTGATTGTACTCGAAATACCTATCTAGAAAATAGTAAAATTCATGGCCTGCAATTCTTTCTAAAACCTGGTCAAGAAAGGGAAGAGGGAAATGGTCTTTCCTAATCACCAAATTGAGTTTTCGATAGTTAATACACATCCGCCATCCTATGACAACTCTAGTTGGTACTAGTTCATTGACTTTATTCTTGACCACTGTGACCCCAGACTTTTTGGGCACAACTTGGGTTAGACTAACCCATTTGCTATCAGAGATGAAAAAGATTATCCCTGCATCTAAGAGTTTAAGCACTTCCATTCTCACAACTTCCTTCATGTGAGGGTTCAGTCGTCGCTGCATTTGACGAGAGGGTTTTGAATCCTCTTCCAGGTATATAGCATGATTGCAGATTAACGACCTTATACCTTTCAAGTCAATGATGGTCCACCTAATGGTGTTTTTATGACTTTTAAGAACTTCAATTAGTTTAGACTCTTGCAAGTCTGTGAGTTTAGATGAAATTACCACTGAGCGTGACTCGTCCTCTCTTAGGAATGCATATTTAAGGTTAGATAGGAGAGGTTTCAATTCAGGCTTTGGTGACCTGACATTTGATGAGAGTGACTTTGTGCCACTTGATGAAAGTTTCTCAAATTTTGGGGCCCATCATCTGTTGTCTCAAATGTGATAGATTCTGACTGAGAAGATTCAGTGGGGTTTTCATAGAATGTGTTATTCAGATGTTCCTGAACCAACAACTTAATAAAATTTATCTCTCTCTCTTCTTTGTCTTCTCCTCGGTGTTTGGCAACATTGAAAATATTCAGCTCAAGAGTCATATTCCCAAAGGTCAATTTCATGACCCCATTCCTGCAATTGATTAGTGCATTTGAAGTTGCTAGTAAGGGTCGACCAAGAATGACGGAAATTGGGTTCACTGAATGCTTTGCTGGCTGGGTATCTAGCATGATGAAGTCAACAGGGAAAACAAAGTTGTCCACTTGGACAAGTACATATTCAACAATGCCCCTAGGGACTTTGATAGATCTGTCTGCCAAATGGAGTATAACACTGGTAGGTTTGAATTCTCCCAGTCCTAACTGCTGGTAAATAGAAAATGGGAACAAATTGACACTTGCTCCAAGGTCTAACAGTGCTTGTTCAATTCTAAAATTTTCAATAACACATGACACAGTTGGACACCCAGGGTCTTTGTATTTTGGAGGAGTTTTGTGTTGAAGTAAGGCACTAACATGTTCTATCAAGAAAGCTCTTTTTTGGAAATTTTAGCTTCTTTTGACTGTGCACAAGTCTTTCAAAAACTTGGCATAAGAAGGAACCTGTTTGATTGCATCCAGAAGTGGGATGTTGATTTTCACTTGCTTAAAAAGCTCATAAATTTCAGGTTGATTATTCAACTTCTGTGCTGTTTTGAGTCTATGAGAAAAATGAGCAGGAATAGGACATGAGGGTCCCTGTTCTTTTAATGGTTCTAGTTCTTGTTCAATCACAAGTTTAGGCTCCTCCTTAATTACAAGTTTAGGCTCTTTTGGTTCAGGCTCAACTGGTGAGTTGACTTAGGTTTTGGCTTGGGAATTAGCATGTCTCTAATGGTCTTGTCAATCACCTTGCCACTTTTCAGTGTAGTGATAACTTGGGCTTGGTCTTGTGGAGTTTCCATGATTGCAAAATTTTTCACCTAGAATTGGCCTTGTGGTGGTTTTGGTTGGGTAAGAAACTTACCCTTCTCATGTGTGGTCATGGATTGGGTCAATCATTGGATGTGGCTTTTAAGATTCTCGAAAGATTGAGTGGTCTGGGTTTAGAATTCAGTAAAAGCTTAAGTGGAACTATTGTTATAGTTCATTTGGCTGTGCATAAACTGATTCAAGGTATCCTCATGGCTCCTTTTTTGTGGTGGTTGGTATGGTTGATATGTGGGAGGTTTTTGAGGTGGTGGGTGGGAACCTTGTTGTTGGTTCATAGGAGTTGGTTGTGTGTTTCTCCAATTGAAGTTTGAGTGGTTCCGCCACCCTAGATTGTATGTTTTAGAGTATGGGTTGGAGTAAGGCTTGTTGAAGTTAGAAACGACATTTGTTTGTTCCAACAAAACTTCTTTGAATGCCAAAATGGTTGGACACTCCCCAGTAGGGTGTCCTGTTAGTACACAAATCCCACACACTTGTTCTGTGGGAGAGCCAACATCAACTTGATGAACCTTTTTCATCTCTAAAGCTTTAAGCTTTCGAGATAGGGCGAATATTTTTGCTCTTAAGTCATCATCATCTCTTAAGACATACTTACCTCCTTAGGACGTAGATGATTTGACTTCAACAATGGTAGGTGAGGCTGAGTCCCATATCTGAGAACT